CAAGGATACCCTACGAAACACTACGAGAAAACTTGTTGCAGGTTCATTTGGTTCCTTTGGTGAGATCTTTTTTTATGAAGAGCTTTGAGTGGGTTGGTATATTTCCTTTTAATTCCGTTATAATTGCTTATCTTTTGACAGATACGCGTATTTCGTCTACTACTTGCAGACTTCATCAGTGCCAAGTACTCAACACCACTTTTTTTAATTTATTTATTTATAATTCATATCAATTAGTGTACAATTAGTGTATTGTAGAGTCCTTATTCATTTTACACTTCGCTTTTCACAAGTCAAAGCATTAAGGTTTTGTGATTGTGGTACGTTGTTAGCTACAGGGAAGGAAGTAATGTACAGAATTGTAAAGGTCGTGTCCCTCCCGCGTTGACGTTACTAAAGTGAAGGATTATACTGTCGGTGGTCGCACAATTGTCCCATGTGCTATGGAGCTTCATATACACATGGCAGTATTGGGCTTATAATATTTTCAAATGTTATTATTTTCCTTAGTGTAAAATATCACCTGCCGTGCAAGCACCATATTCTGAACGGATAAGAAGATCTCAACGTTATCGGATCTGAATAAAAACAAGTTTGCTATTTAAAAAATAATTCTTCTCATAGTCGTGTACTGCTGCTACATGTAGATAGGAAATCTACAGGACATATGGCTGTTATGCGAATAGTGGCAGTCCCACGTACGTCATACAAGTACTATATAAAATACATCTGTATGCATAATTAATCAAATTTTATTAAAAGAAAACATTTAAGAAAGTGACTATGCGTTCCATATTCTGAACGCTCGCTGTTGAATCCTTTTGGGAAAGCCTTTGCGAAAGCATTTTTTTCTGAGATGAAATACTTCACGGTAGCCCTCAAATGATGTATGTAGATGGGAAATCCACAAAACACTACAATGCGGTTCTCCTCATTTTCCGAAAAGATTGTTGACTTTCATAAAATTCTTAGCTGACGTGTTCTTTAACGCACCGTAACAGTAGTAGAGTAACCTTTTATAACTATTTTAAGCGCCTTTACAAAAAGTCGTAAACTGTTCTCCTTTAGTGTCGAGTTTTGTGTGGCCTTTTACTAGTATATGTTCAGCATTAAGGAACAAAGTGTGAAAAGTTGTGCCATATTTTGAACAGCACATTTACGAGTATTCACTAGCTCAGACCATTGAAAGATTTAATTAACGAAACCATTGAAAGAAAACTCAACTTACTCTGTTAATATCAGGCAAATGTGTAGTGTAAGTTATATTATAACGCTTGTATTTATAATATAACTTTTTTTTTATCAATAGTTCTACTCTAGCATCTTGGCGTATGCGCTAAACGGCCATATTTTTAGACGTTCTGCTTTGCATGGATTTTGTTTATTCACATTTTTTAAACAAATAAGGTAGTGAATGAAACTTTTTTGTTTTAATAAAGATATAGATAAAGGGTGTCCACGATGAAATTGCCACACACAAAATTGATTCGCAAAATTCGAGTTTTCATCCGATTGCCATCAAATTTTCAGGGATTGAGAAATAACTATTAAACTTCATTTTACCATTTTACTCGTATTTTATTTACAGTCCATACGCAAATGCCCGCACCTTGGCCTTAACCCCGGCCATAAGATTCTGCACAACCTGTGAATCAACCGTTTTTTGCATGTAAATCCATACTTTCTTCAGTTCCTCGACTGTCTTCACTACCTTAGGTCGTTTAAGAAGGTGCTGCTTCATAATCGCCCAGTACTTCTCGATGGGGCGGAGCTCCGGAGTGTTGGGAGGGTTGAACATTTTCGGCACGAAATTGACCTTATTGTCCGCATACCACTTCAGCACGTCCTTGGAGTAGTGGCATGAGGCCAAATCCGGCCAGAAGATTGTTGGGACGTTGTGTGCTTTCAGGAGAGGAAGCAGCCGCTTCTGGAGGCACTCTTTTATGTACACCTGTCCGTTCATCGTGTCCTGGGTCACGAAAGGTGCACTCCGCTTCCCGCACGTGCAGATGGCTTGCCAAACCAGGAATTTCTTCGCAAATTTGGACATCTTCTGAGTGCGGACATGCTCCGGAACGCTGAACTTATCCTTGGCCGTGAAAAACAGGTTGCCGGGGATCTGTTTGAAGTCGGCCTTCACATATGTTTCGTCGTCCATGATGCAGCATTCAACTTTCGTCAGCATGTTGAGGTACAACTTCCTGGCACGGGTTTTGGCGGACTTGTTCTGCTTCTCGTCGCGATTAGGGGCCTTTTGTACCTTGAACGTTCGAAGCCCAGCCTTAGTTTTGGCCTTCTGGACAAAACTTCGGCTTAGGTGCAGCTTCTTAGCCACATCCCTAACGGAGGCGTTCGGATTTCGGTTGAAGGCCCCAACTACGCGGTTGTGATTTTTGGTGTTGTACGGAATACTTTTTCCTTCACTTCTGGGCTTCCGATCGGTGGTCAACCGTTCCTCGAACCGCTTAATCACTCGCGACACCGTGGAATTCGCGATTCCCAACGTTTTATCGATGGAACGATGCGAGAGATCCTTGTTCTCGTGATGAATGCGCAAGATTTTATCACGCACGAGCTGTTCTTTCGACTCCATTTCCGCGAGTTTTGATCACAGGACTTTAAAACTTGCAGGATGTAAATAATGCACTATGAACTAAATCCACCCAAATTTTCATTAAATTCTACCCAACGGTTAAAAAGTTAGAGCAATTTCATAGTGTGGCAATTTCATCGTGGACACCCTTTACACAACATAGATGAAGAAATAAAACGCTATTTCAAAGTTGAAGCATACTCCAATAACGTTTAAACATTTAAAATAGGTTTTATGGTACTTGCACTTCAGTAAAGCTCAAACGATCACTTCTTGACTGTTTATATATTTTCGTTTATTAAATCGGCTGCTGTAAATATCAGATTTGGTCTGTAAACAGAGGAGTGCTTATTAGAAACTTCTCACCATTTTCCTACAATAGTTTTCACTTCATTTTGATATTCTGGTAGATTGTCTTAATTGGTTAGAATTTCGAAACTAACACATGTCCAAAGGCAAAAAAAGATCTGTTGGAGAAATTGGAATATTTATTTGAATTTAACTAGAATATATTCTTTTTAAGCATATATTTTACATCTCAAGGCACACTGCTTTACCAAATCACTAGATATTAAAAATAGGAAGAGGGAACTTAGGACCATATGCCAACATAGCGTGAATTAGAAAGAATGTTTGAGAATAGATTTTTTTGCATGGGGTACGTTAATCGATTTGCTTGGGACCAATAGGCTAATCAAGTAGTGAGCCAATTTAAAATCGTTAGTTTCCACCGGTTGCTACAACGGTGTACTTTGTATGTCGGTTGATGGCCTTAAATGGATTTAAGCTGTAGCCTCTCAAACCGTTCACTTTACTTACCCCGTAAGAGAAACGGGAAAGTTATTTTTATTCATACGACCCATGACAAGCCTTCATCGCTCAACTATGGTCAAAGCATTAATCTGATGGCTGATCGAATTCAAGAGCAAAATATAATAGAAGAAACCAAAGTATTTGTGTTGTCATTTATGATAAAAGAAAATGAAACTCAATCAATCAGTTTTAATTTGTAAGAGTTTATTTCATATCACCACGAAAATCATGAATTCGCTCTTATTCGTGTCTGTTGTTTTACATCCACACATGGTGAAATTCAGTGTCGTCCCGAACCTCACTTTTTACCTGTGCACCAACTTTCAAAACCAGATTTAATACCATATTCATACTCGAGTTGGTTGAAAAATACACTTAATCTTCTAGTTTACTAGATCTCTATCCATTGCAAGCAATATTTTAATAATTGTTTATGTTTTGAGAGTTGGTGCACAGGTAGATTGAGGTTAAGGAAACGCCACTGGTGAAATTACAAGTTGGTTTCCAATCACAGAGGTAACTCTAAGAGCAGAAGGTCCCGAAGAAACGTGCTCAAATTTTTGGCTCAGCTCTGGTACTATCTTCGATCCCAAGCTAATCGATCCACCCCTCGAAACATAGGAAAATCCACGAACCCCTCATTTCATATGTCAAACTTTCATAGCGAATTAAAACAAACATAGTGTAGTACTAGAATTTCGACTAGAATGGAGCACGTTAATCGATTTGCTTGGGACCAATAGACTAGTCAAGTAGTGAGCCAATTTAAAATCGTTAGTTTTCACCGGGTACAATCCCTTTGTTTACGTTGTGTGGCGACATCTACTATTTGCAAGTGGGAACGTGAAACTAAGATCACCTTGTCTGGGCTTGCATATTTTTGACCAATTTTAGACCACCACCCTTCCGCCGTAGTGTATTTTGTCAATCTTATACAAGGCTCGTCATAGGTTCTGACTCATATTCTGACTGACTGAGAAGTTGGAGTTGCTGGAAGATTCAGCAGTATTATTTTGCTGGAAAGTTTGCTAATCTTTCATCAAGTCTAGAATCAGCAAATTTTGCAGATTTTCAGCAGTTTAAATTCGGTGTGTAGTGGCGTCTTGTTTTTAAAATGCCCATTGAATATGCATTTAATTAAAAAAAAATTTGTTTAGTTTTCCCAGAAAGACATTATTTTTCTCTGCAAATGCCGTTTCCGTGCAACAATTTTCAACAAAGTTCCAAAATGGTCGAATTTTAGGAAAAATGGAATCGTAACAAGTAATTACTATAATTATCATACAAATCGGAGAAGGACGATGCAAAAATTCCTTTTTTTTCGAATTCCTCTTCATTTAGGCATGTTTCCTTAGTTAAGTCGTCTCTTTTTTCTGCAAATATCTCAACGATGCTCTGAAATGCTGAAGAAGGGAAATACAATATGTTCTAGCGTTTTATCATCTCATCATCGTCGTTGTCGTCGTCGTCGTAGAAACGAAGGAGGTGGATGCTGGTACCATTTGTCTGCTGTATTTACGTAATTTGTCTGTCACTATGGGATATAAATATTGATCTTTGTTCGTTATGTTTTTCTCTAATCACTACCAAACAGGCGTACGCAGCAGGGTGTAACATTGTTATCTTAGCTAGTAATTTCGAGCGAGTTCAGATTATCCCAGGAGCGGTACATAACTACATACGGATCTCGGCGCTTGATTGCAGTACTGATACGGGTAAAATCGCTGCCGCTTACGAGGACAAAATATGCATCTTCGAGCCAACACCACTGATACACAGTGACCGACCTTTATCACATGGGTTGGAATACAAGTATGATTTTTTTTAAATTAATTAATTAGAATATAATAAAATAGTTACTTCTCATATATAGATGGGTTCAGACGGGTAGCTTGCAAGCAACATCGCACATCAGTTCTCTGTCTTGGAATTTGGAAGGAACTCGTCTGCTGACTGGCGGTACGGTTTTGCAGCTCTGGCATGAGCGACTGTCTAAGCAGGATGACGATGAACCTACATGTAAGACTCGGTTACTCTTACCGTCAATGACTTAATGCTAACATTTGCAAATATTTTAGCCGTCAAGTTCGAAATTGGTGGCGATCGTGACCCCAGAACCCCGACAAATGAGGAAGAATCCGATTCACATTGGGATTGTGTTTGGAAATGTCACACCGCCACACCAGTTCATCACATGGCTTTTAGCCCGGATGGCACGCTATTTGCTACATCCGGGAAAAGCGATCGTTTGGTCAAGGTGTGGTACGAAAACAAGCACAGTACGTATATCAACAGTATGCATACAAATTTACAATTAACTCCTCATTTGTTATTTTCCATTACAGTCTTGTTTCCGAATAAAAGTTTTGATCAAGCACAATCGCAAAGCTTTTGCGGCATACCGGAAGCGAGCTATGGCTTCGTGTATGTTGCTCACCCAAGAGCCGTGACTCATCTATCTTGGCGCAAAACAAGCAAATACATGCCTAAGGGATCCGTTTCCAACATGCTTGTGACATCGTGCTTGGATAACATCTGTCGTATATGGGTGGAAACGGTCTTACCGGATGATGGCTTAGTCAATATGAACCAATTCGATCCCCTTGCATCACAAAACCCAAAGTTTCGAACTCACAGGCACAAACATCGTTTTATGCAGCGTTTGAAGCACATGAAGACATGCTTCCACATAAGACGTCATGCCAAGCATAACGGTGCCACTGGCCTCAATGGAATGGGAGCGGGTTTCGGGGGTCCAGGGGCAAGCGCTGGTTTCGGAAATCCACCAATACCGACACTCCCGTCTACCTACAGTGTACATGATTTCCACTCATACGGTTATCATGGTACTGGAATGACGCCAGGATTGCATTTCCATTTGGCTGCCTCAATCAACGCCGAAACGGACATACCACTGGTACCTTCGATGCACACGAACGACCCTTCGACGCAGCCTAATTTCATTCTACATTGGCTCAACAACAAAGAGATGCATTTCTCTCTGCAAGCAGAGGCTATTTTACAAGAAATGACTAGAAAAGTTATCGAAAAGGAAGATTTATTGTCTGGAGCAAACAGCGATGGACATTCCGAAGGACTACACGAAGACGATTTACCGAACGAAGATGGCAGGAGAAAACCAAAAATGAAATCTACATTTTCACAAGACGAGAGCAACAGTGAAGATCATCCTCCTTATCCGACGCACCGTTCACCTTCGGTAGGAGGTGCTTCCCATGCAGGATTACCAAGTCATCACACGTTATCGAATACAACTTCAATAAATTCGTTGGCCAATGACGGTGGAAATATACACGTCACGGATTCACTGGATATGAAAATCGAATGTCTGCTTCGAGATTGGCATCACAGCCCGGATTTGTTGTTTTCGATCCATCCAATCGATGGAAGTTATCTGATATGGGTGGTTGAGTGGCTCGACGAGTATCATCCCGGATCGTTCCGGCAGGCACAGGTGTCGTTCTCTACAAGGATTCCTTCTGCGTTCCCATTGGGTGATGCAATGTCAATGTCCACTACGGTCGCTCTATACAACACTGGAGGAAACCTAGGTTTTCGCGATATGATAGTGAAAGGACCAAAAGCAAGCAACGGAAGTAACGGTAGCAACAATCCCGATGTGAACAGTGATATCGTAACATCACTTCCCAGTGTCCTGGAAGAAAATGAAGGTCACGAAGAAGACAACGACGCAGCAAGTGGAGATGGCGATGCTGAATCCAAAGGAGCCGGGGAAGCCACTGGCAATGAAAATGCAGCAGAACATTCGGACATCCTAACTGCTCCTCCATCACCAGTCATCTCGATGGTAACAAAGCATTCAAACGGAACGCTCAATCTATGGCAGCTTACTTTTGCGGATAAAACTAAATTCTCCCAGGTTCTGAGCATAGGCCATGCTTCGAGAGCATCTGGTCATCGATTCCGCGTGAACGATATAACTTGCCATCCGGTGTTGCCCCTTTTGCTCACAACCTCCCATCATAATATTCCAGACATTCCAAGTTCGAACGCAAGTTACCCTGGCAAACAGTCAGGCGATCCCGATTACAAACCGCATCGTCCGAAGGACATATGCACGCCATCTGGATTCTGCTCGGAATTAATCCTGTGGCGTGTGGATGCAGTTGGACCACTTTCGCAATCTGGAGGAGTTAGTGAATTGGCTCGCATCAATTCGCCAGAAATCTCTGCATTCAGTAACGTAGCTTGGATTCCGACACTGCTTCCTAGTACCACGTTAGGAAATTTGAGTAACTCTCCATCGGCGTGTTTTGTGGCGAGCGATGGCGAAAGTCTACGGGTGTACCAAGCGGTGATTGATGCTAGAACACTTCTTGCCGAGATTTCTAGCTCCGAAAGACGCTTCCGTCGAATGGACTCGATGGTGTCGCTCTCGACGGAATCATCCTCGGATAACGTACCCGCAACACAGTCAGCTTTGCACGATAAAATAAAGATCGTTTCACAGCAATCAACGGCTAGGCCAGGATGCATAATACAGTTGGATGCAATCGACGATGCTACCCACGATTGGCAAAACACTCAATTCCTTCATGTATTCCAAGAGCAACTCATAACGGGGGAACGCTCGGAAGAACCCATTTTTGCTGGAAATGAAAACAAACCACCTGTGGGATTGATGGACGGCCAGATGGGCGCAATGGTGGATTTACAGAGAAATGCTCAATTTGAAGAACCTTTCTATTTGGTGGTACTAGAACGGACACAAACCGGAACTACCATTCACATGTGGCGCATTGTAATTGCATCCCAACCAGCCGCACCAGACGAACTGAGCAGTAGTATGATGTATGTGCCAGATAGCAACCTGGTTCAGGATCTGGACGACCCTGAGTTTATCCACCGGGCTTCAATGGCTGGAGTTCAAATACCAGAAGACGCTAAAATTCCAATCGATCAAAGTCCGCATGTCAACATTACAACGACCAAGGTATGTACCCAAGAACTACCACTACCTGACGGGGTAGATGTCATACATGCCGCACCAGCTGCTGGACACCTGAGCTCATCTTCGATTTATCCGGCTTGCTTTGCACCGTACATAATTGTAACCGCTTGTTCCGATTCGACTGTCCGCTTTTGGAAGTGCAAGGCGCCTAAAAGCGATGCTAGTGCAGAGAGCAAACTGAACTTCAAATATGAATGGTTCGAATGGGAAATGATACGGAAGGACCAAGAATCGACCATCGATGTTAATGGACAGCTCTTGCACATAAGTGCGGCTTATTCGGGAAGAATCGCATGCGCATACAAATATGGGAAATCGTTCACTAGACCGACAAAAAGCAGCGATCCGGAATCACGCTATGTAAATCTTTGCGTTGCTATCTATGAATGTGAAAGTACCGGTGGCAGCGAGTGGGTTCTTGAGGACACTATTCATCTGAAGAACATTCACTTACCGAGAATTCAAGTTGATCCACATTTGGATTTAAGCTACCTGTACGATAATCGAACTTTGCAAAAGAAACAACGATTGAATCAAATGTTGCAAACGTTGTCCCATGACGAAATTCGATCAAGTCGTAACGGAGACGTCACTCCAGAGTCTCTAGCAAAGCCCGGTTCAGGGTTGTTGGCAGTGCCGAGCTTCAGTACACTTCAGTCACTGCGAAAAAGTATAACGGAGCATGGTAATACGTGTCCACTTACTCAAAAGCATCTCGTTCAACTGGACTGGGTTTCAAAGGAAGACGGTTCCCACATTCTCACCGTTGCTGTTGGTAGCAAAATAATGCTATTCACACCGGTTTCCAGTGACCTGGCACAATCAAACATGAAAGCCATGAAGGAATCGCAATCGTCAAATCGGCCACTTCTAAGGAAGGCAAGTTCTCTGGCGCAGCCCCATTTCAATGATGAAATACGATGGATGAAACTACGCCAGATTGGGCTGCAAACAGCCGACGGTCTGCCTCCTTTGCCAATGCAAATATCTTGGGTTCGGGACGGTATATTTGTTGCTGGTATGGATTCCGAAATGCATGTCTACTCTCAATGGAAACCGCAAAATAATGCCATCAATCATATGGAGATTGAAGATTTGTACGACAATCGTTACTTGAAAGATGAGGATCTTCGTTCGCTCGCACAAGAGAATACTCAGAGACGTTTGGCCAATGTGTCATCGATGCCAGTATTATCCCGTGTGAGTTCCATAAACCTTCAAATGCTCTCGAACGATAGCAAGAAGAAGAAACCTGGTACTGCCAGCACTGGTCAGCTTAATAGTGGCAACGAACAGCAGCAACCAGTGCACGACTACATGACTGACTACGGTCTGTTTGAGGCGTCCAGGATCGCCTGTCCTGTTTTACCACAGTATCATCCGAAACAACTAATGGAACTGCTCAACTCCGGTAAAATTCGTTGGGTTAAAGCAATTCTGGCACATCTGGTCCGATGCATCAGTGGTTCGTATACTATTCGTGGAGGCGGAAGCGAAGAAGAGAGCCTCAACAGACAGGTATGGTTTGAGTTTTTAAGTACTTTCGTTTAGCTGATAATCTTCATAGTCAAACGTGTGATTAATATGATTTGAATTTTTTATCACCCTATCATATTCTAGTTCCTGTTGTGCACTTGTTGAGATTAACCCAATTTCAATATCAAGCATCTTATCGCTTCATCCATTTTTCGTGAACTCTGTTTATACCGCGTACCTACAACATGTATTGCATCCCATTTCACCATGATTGAAAATGGATCATCATTAATTTGGATTTCCAGTGAAACCTTTACTGTATAGCGAATGTTTCCAATACCTCTAGTGTTTTGTATTGAATGCAGATAGTAAACTTTTCAGAATGCTCGCTTTTAGGTATCGTGGTACTGTGTAATATCGTGTACAATAACCTGCTATTACTGCTATCACCATTCGTTGACAGTAAACGTTTCTACAAAATTTTGATTATATTGAGACATTATAACTATCTCTTTCAGACTACAGCAAACACACGTTTAACATGGACAAAATTAGCAAACAAAGCTCAAAATTTGCAGGAAACAAAATTTTGTCACCCACTTCACCATTCATGTTTTTTCTCTATTTTTCCGTTACGTGTTACAGCGTGGTTGGTCTAGATCTCGCACACTTTCTGTTAGCTGTCCAGCAGGCACTGTTAGTCCTCTTGAACCGAGAGGATCGACGACACAGGTGCGATTTAGTTTTAGTTTTGCCCTTCTCTTTCAGCTCTACTTATTTTCGAGTCTCTTTACATTACTAAACAATCATTATTTACTAACTTCATTTTCGAATGGTTTCGAAACTATTGGCTTCATCGCTTTTTTTTCTCTGGCAACATACTGATCAAGTTTATCATCGGTGAAAACTGCCGAACTAACATTGGAAGCCGCATAGAAACATTGGCTGATTCATTATAGGTACAAGGCAACATGCCCATAGGCGTAGCCAGATAGGGGCAGGGGGGGGGGCGACTGCCCCCCCCCTAAACTCGGCAACACAAAGGCTTTCGAGGAAATGGCGTTCGGTGAAATGGCATTCGGCCAAATTTTCCATGGTAATTTTTTTTTCGCCCCTCCCTAGCTCGAAACCTGGCTACGCCCTTGAACATGCCTATACTTAAACTGATTACACACGTTTCTCAGCTTTCAACGTTTGTTGGGTTATAAAGACAGATAGGTATTATCACAGCAGATCCATTTAAACTCACACAAAAGCATTATGTAATTCAATATGAAGGTGAATAACAATAACTCCAACACTAATAATACTCCTCATTGCTTCTCACTTGGTATTCTTCAAAGGTCAAGCCGAAATATTTTTAGTTAAACTTCTCAGATCTTTAATGCAAACCTAACCTGTAGCTTTGTTTTGTTCTGCATTAGCTAGCTTTAGCGTTTTTAGTGAATGCATAACTTTACTAGAGCTGGTATTATGGAGTTGTCGTGATAATTATAGAAATTTATTTAAATACAGTGAATAGCTATTGTAACGTCTAGTGTTAAGTTCCAGAAAAATAAGTCGATTTTTTTATTCGAAACAAAACAGAAGGTTTTATTCAAGGCAAATTGTGATGTGATATGCTAAGTATAAAACCTGCTGTTACACAGTGCAGCACTTAATTTTCTTCTTCTCTCTGATATAACTACGATTCTATTCACAACTTTCAGGGTTTCAAACGACTTTTTGGTTCGTGTATTGCCATTTCAGGGAAAACAAATCCGGAGTGATTTGAGATTTGGGCGTAATTGCTTTTGTAAACAAAGACGTCAATTGCCGATTTCTCTTGAATTAAAGCCCAAACCCCTGAATAAAATATACCAAATGATAGAGGAATCATTCTTCTACCTCATAGCGTTATTAGTTTTCGAGATTGAGCTTTTAATCGCGAGAAATCTGTGATTGACGTGTTTGTTTACAAATGCAATTACGCCCAAATCTCAAATCACTCCTGAAATTACAACGCAACTGGCAACCGCAGCATGCTATTAAAGCTTATAATCTGACGTCAAATGCTATTTATTCTCTGGATTGGCAATATATGTAAAATACTATCATTCTCTCGTTGGGGTGCTTTTTAGTTGGGAGTTCGCTAATTGGGTGGTGACGTCTCAACAAAAAAAACAGCTAATCATAATTATATCAAAGTAAACTACCCTTGACATTTCATTGCTGTCCTTGAAAATTATCTAGTGCCCTGTTTTGCACTACCGATTGACAGCTTTTAAACAATCACAACAGCTTCCAACTGCAGGTCATATCAAAATAATACACTATGATTTTGTTAGCCTCTCCATGAATGTCCAAAGAGTGCTTTTTATTTCAGTATGAGCATCAGCATTTCTGACATTTTAGCTGCTGGTTGACTTATAAGCACTCAAGGTTTATACGTATCATTTGTGACTTGATTGACCAAGTCTGTACGAAGTTAGAGCAGTTTTAGTAAATCGCTTCTTATTTTACTACCATTTTTCTCTCTGTTTCTTAAAGCACTATGAACCAAATTTGCTCTTTTGTAGTTAAAACATTATTCTTTTTGCTCAAAATTTACTAAAATTTGTTCACAATGAAAAAAGATCATTCAATGTTGGAAATTATTCCTATGTCTGAACTACCTTAATTTCGTCGGAACTCTTAACAGGTTTTCTTTGGAGAATTCCCTTTGAGTAATTCTAAAGTTTTCTCTAATTTCTAATAAAAATTTACGTTGGAATTAATCGCTCATTTTCTACCAGAAATTTTAACACAATAAGGCAAACTCCAGCTTTCGCTGAAAAAACTTGATCAAATTATTCCTTCTTACAGGAAAAAATCTCAGGGATGGAATGCAGGAAAATGCAAGTTGGGCTTAGACCTGTAAGAAAGAATAATTTCAACAAGTTTCCCAAACGAGAACTGGAGAATGCATTGCAGATTTGTCAGGCTCCTTTTAAGGTGACCAGCCGTGTAGAAAAATACACAGAAGGAATAGAGAGGGGAACCAAAGTTGGTACTTTATGAAACATTTGATGAAGCACCAACTTTGAACCCTGTCCCCCTTGTAGTGTATTTTCCTACATGACTGGTCACCCTAAAATGCTACGCTAAATATATGGATCTTCTCTAAGTCTATTTCCTCAGCATTTCCAAAGTAATGTCTCGTTTAAATACTGTCAAAAATTGATATTTTCTTTAGAATACCTTTGAAACTATCTTAAGTTTCAGATTATCTTGAAATTCTTATTACAATTCTCGTAGAATTCATGAAAATTCTTTTAGGGTTCTTTCCAGTATTTTTTTTTGGGATTGTATTCAGAATCACCTTGGAATTGTAATTAAAATATCATTTGAATTATCATCCAATCTCAATGGAATTCACATTGCCATATAATTCTACTCATAATTCTCTTGGTATTCTCCATATAATTCACCTGAAAGTCTCCTCGCAAAGCTCATTGGAATTCTTTTCGGAATTCCTTGAGAATAATTTCCAGAATTCCCCAGGAGGTCTCTTCATAAAGTCGTTGGAATCATTCCAATCCTCATTGGAATTACCTTGAACCTTCTTCCTGTAAGTTTAACTAAGTCCAAACGGACGATTTTCTTATGCTCAACATATCGATTTCTTTTCCAAATAAGAAATTGTGTATATTTTCCAATGTCAGACGTTTTTTTTTCCTTGATTTTGTTTTCCGTCGATCTTGTTTTCCGTGCTGAGCACCAATGCTACCGACGCCAGGGAGACAGCTAATGCATCTTCTTTTGCATAAGGTGAGGGTGTCGACTTTACCGAAAATGCAGATTTTGTTTTTCTGTCCTTAGATGCGCTCGCGACTAGTAGATGGAAAGAAGATTGATGAACGCGATACGAGAAGATGGATTTAGATGCGTGACATGAAATAAAGATTTTTCGTAGATTGTTCTGACTGATTCGTTAGCGTGAAGTTTTCGGGCATCTTAGAATTGAGATGTGGATGTGTCGTTCCTCTACAACGTATCATTCGTGAAAGTAAAAGGTGTATTCGTAAAAAACGTTTCTCTGAAAAATATTTACCAAAAATCAACCGATTCTTTTGGAATCTTGCAGCAATGAATTTTTGTTTTATTATTATAGGGGCTTAAAGCCATTCCCAACAAACATTAAAAGAGAATAAGAGCTTGTAAAAATATGCTTCTTCAGATAATAAAAAGCCATTTCAGCCTTTAATCAACTCAAATTGTTTGTTCGGTTGACTGGTTCGGCTCTAACCCACAACTTGTAATGTAAGTTAAGGAATGTTTATTTTATAAAAGTTATGGAATGTTTATTTTATAAAACCGCCTTTCTTAGCCAAAATTACCACATGACCTAGAACCTCGAGAAAATAGGGTCTTATTTATGCTCTGTCTAAGAAATCCGACTATTTGATTAATAGGGTGAAGTTCCCAAATACTCCAAATAATAAACAAATAACATAAAAAAACGATAACCAAAATGGTAAAACTATTCCACAAATGGGTTGTATGATACCCCGAATACGTCATTAAGCACTTTAGGGACGTTCTACACTAAAAAAAAATCACGTAATGGAAAAAAAAAATCCATCCTGAAACCGTCGTTAAGAGCGGACCACACAAACCAAGCAATATAGTGCGTCAAGTGTAGTGAAGCGAATTTTGCAAACCGCGTGCGTTTTGATTGATAAAAAATTTCTTTATTTTCTTTTAAATCCGATAAATTAACAGTTTGTTCATAGTGTAAATACTTGTAAACATTGAATAGAGTGATATTCTTATTAGTGATAGTTACTTTTCAAGGTATAAATAGTAAAAAAAGAGAAAAAGTAGGTAATCTTTGGAGTTAGGTTCAGATTTCATGGTTGGGTAAAACCAAGTATGAAAGATGTTGGCAGAAACAGCAGCTTTCTGATTATGTAGTGAGAAACCAATGGGGTCGTCACCACTATCATAACCAGTATACTCACCAAGAATGTTCTCAACCTGAAAAGGAAACGACTTCTTCCAGTTTCGGATCAGCTTTCAAAAAGTAGTTTCTGTGAATAAATTGCCTTACGCAGTCTTTATTCCGTCAACCGTTTGCTGATACAAAATGAGGATAAATTCACTGTATTCCTTATTGATCTTATACATTTCACTGTCCCATCTATTCTAGCGATATATATATAACTTTACAATCCACGCGGTCTATTTCATTTGCCTATGCCTAATTGTGTGGTGAGAGAATTCGTTCTCCCTCTCTTCTGATTATTGGGATCTCATATCCCGAGTAGAAATGAATGACAAATTTATATTCCAATACTTCCCTTCAATTTATCATTCCTAACAATTCGCACATTTTATAAAATCTTGATTTTAATAGGGGTTTTGTAAATACATCTGCAATCTGATCTTCACTCTTAATATATTCCAATTTAATTTTCTTCTCATTAATCAAGTTTCTAATGAACATATACCGCACATCAATATGTTTTGTTCGCTGATGCTCTCTAGGTTCCTCCGATATTCGAATGCAGGGAATGTTGTCCTCGTATATGGTGAATGGAGTGAACGAGATTCCCATCTCCCGCAGCATACACGATATCCATACACCTTCCTTAGAAGCGTCACATAATGAAACCAGTTCCGCTTCTGTTGATGATAGCGTCACAATGTGCTGCCGCTTGCTCTTCCAGGACACGATGTTGCCATAAACCAGAAAAGCGTTTCCGGAATTT